CAGGACAGAACCAGCTCTCTTGTTGAGTCTCTTTCTGTCCCTGACCGTGCTATCTCCCGCCCAGCCCACAACAGCGTAAAAAACTGCAGATGCCACTACAGTATCATAAAAAAAAAGTGCGAAGGAGTGCCCCCTGCACACCAAAGGACCTCAGTCTCCTCAACAAGTGGAGGCGGCTCTGGCCCTTCCTGTACAGGGCATCAGTGTTTTCAGTCCAATCCATTTTGTTGTTGAGGTGGACCCCCAGGTATTTAAAGATGTCCACAATCTCAATGACTGAGCCCTGAAAGCTCACTGGAGTGAGTGCTGGTGATTTCTGCCGGGGATCAGTCACCATCTCTTTAGTCTTACTGGTGTTCAGGACCAGTCGATTTTCCTCGCACCACTTCACAAAGTCAGTAACAACCCCCTGTATTCCCACTCATCCCCCCCAATACACATCCAAAAATGGCAGTTTCATCAGAGAACTTTTGTAGATGACACTGGTGGGAGTTGTACTTGAAGTTCGACGTGTAGAGGGTGAACAGAAAGGGGGAAAGCACCGTCCCCCGTGCTGCAGACCAGCACGTCCAACACACAGTCTGACAAACTGAGGTCTGTTTGTGAGGTAGTTAATGGTCCATGCGGACAGGTGTTGGTCCACACCTGCCCCCTCCAACTTCCCCCTCAGCAGTGACGACTGGATTGTGTTGAAAGTACTGGAGAAGTCAAAGAACATGACCCTCACCATGCTTCTGGGGGACTCCAGATAAGATAGGGCTCCATGCAGCATGTAGATAATAGCGTCATCAACCCCGATGCCAGGACGGTATGTAAACTGCAGCGGGACCAGCGCCAAGCTCACCTGGGCACGGAGGTGACCGAGGACAATCCTCTCCATGGTCTTCATCAGGTGGGAGGTTAAGACCTTATTTTGTGGACTGGGAAACTGTAGTTGCCTTTTTATTTCCGGTTTCATTTGATAGAAAACTGATAATTGTTACTGTGGTTGTAGAGATAAACAAATAAATGAGAGTGTGCAGGAATGAGACATAAACTATATATGTATAATTTCTTGGAGCATACAGTAAAACCTGCATTTCACAGCATGTAATGCACAGATGATTCAAGTAATGCTGACTCCCTAAGGTCAGCTGAGTTACCTAAAGTTGCCAACAGATGTATGAGTGAGTTTTTACGCTGTGGGAGAGGAAAAGAGCAGTACAGGAGATGACTGCAGCCTCCAGAATACACAGGGTAGACTCTCTGTTGCTTCTCTCTGCCCTGCCCTGTTTACTCTTCACACCTGAGCAGGTGTACAGAATAAACTTGTGGTGCTGCCACAGAATGCTCAGCACCCGCGATGAATATTTTATTTTTCCTGCAGCTGACTGAGGAGCTTTCACAAGGAGTAAAATCAGCCGGTCTCTAGAGAGATCCATTTCCTGTATGTGCATATTGTTAGTACCAGCCGTTAGCTAAAGTGGGCTCAGCAATAGTTGGCAGGTTGAGGCAGCCGGTCGCCAGTCTATCACAGGGCTGACAGAGAGAGAGACAACCACACACTCCTATGGGCAACTTAGAGTCACCGTCAACCCTAAACCTAATCTGCATGTCTTCACAGGAAGAACATGCAAAGTCTGCACAGAAAGACATGGGTTGGCTGGGGCTCAAACCTGGAACCTTCTTATGTTGAGGCAACAGTGCTAACCACTGAGCCATCATGCCACCTGCAAAGTAAAATTATAGGCTATATCATATAAAATAGCAATATCTTCATAAAAACAACACAATAAGAGAACTACAAAAAATTACAGCATAATAAGATCACTACTCAAAAGCCATTTTAAAAAGAGCCGCTTCTTAAAAGTGTCCACAGATCTTATGGAATATTTATCATGTTATCTGCCTGAGTTGTCTATTAAAGGTGGCATGTTGTTAAAAAAGAAGTATCCAGTGCAAAGATGTGTGCCTCATACAAATCCACCTCTAACAGATTTCACTGACTTCCAGCAGCCTTCTTTGTTTCTAAATTGTGAACATATCTATATATATGCTACTATGACAATGCGGACATGTGTTTTCTACCCTAAGGAATTGGATAGGGACATTTTGATTGTAAATGGGGAAACCCAATCATACACTGTGTCCAAAATCTCTCCCTTGTACAGTCCACTGATATAATAAACACTCAGTAGCGAGTGGTAAAATGGGATTTTGGACACTAACTAATCACAATTTTGTGTCATCACTGTACAATGGAAGATTTTTTGAATCTGTAAAAGGGTGAGCATTTGTCATCAGAAAGCAGAGGAAGCTACATGCCAACTTCAGATGTGTTAGTTTGCACTACAACTTTGCATTAACACATTTCTGCAGTTATACTGTTTATGTCTGAGGGTAAGAGTTCGATAAAAGTGTGGAATCTTATAATTCTTTACAATAAATACAAATATCTTAGTTCATATTTTGGCTGTCCTCCATAGTGTCCTTGTGATGAACTGTTTTTAGGCTGTATTTTACTCCTATACTGGATGCTCATTGATCGTCTCATTGCCCAGCCAGATGTAAGCTAATTATCTTGAGTGGAGTCACCTGAATGCACTATTCAAAAGGCTGCTACACTGCATGACTGTGACACTGATGAAGGAGGGATGGATGAACACGTGTAGTCTTTTGCAGCCAAATAAACTGCTCTCTTGTTGCTGAGTGTGATCCTCTTCTGTGATCACTGGTCAGTATAATCAGGGTATCACATCTTATGAGCATGGTGGAAACGTTACATGTCGGTTTATCTTTACTTGCTGTAGTGTGCCCAGCAAACCAGGGAAAATGAAAGAGTCACAATGTCATGACAACTGGGCAAAAGCCATTTTCTGATGAAGTTCATATGATATGAATAAAAGCACAAAAACAGCTAGGAAATGAACACTGTGGGGAGTTTATGTTAACCGCTGTCTCCAAGATCAAGAACAAATTTGAGTATCAGCAATTGCTCCGTTTTATTTCGGTACCTAACTAGTTCTCTCATCGACTACCTAATAGAGGTCATTTCAGTCCTGCAGGCCAAATTTCAAACTGTGTACCATGTCATGCTGTAGTAATATGTTGTCATAGCAAATCTAACAGTTTAAAATCATTCACTATCTGGTGACTTGGACCAGGTATTCAGCTTCATTCTGTATAAAAACATGGCATAAAAACCTCTGACAGCATTAATGAAATTCATTTACAGTGCATCTTTGTAATATCAGTGTCTGATTCTAAAGCTAACAATAAATTTCATACTGAAAAAATATTAACACAATTACAAAATGATTGTGTAAAAGGTGCCACAGTTCTGCCATGCTGTCCTTAAAGACTGGTTTGTAATCACACTGAATTAAACCAGTAAACAAACTACATGAATCATCACAGCAGTGATGGAGTTGGAAGCTGAAATGAGCAGTGCTGAGTCAAATGGCAATTATTGTGCAATACTCACACAGTTCATTTTTAACACCCTTGATATCAAGCATTAGTGATGCTCAGTGCAAGGACATGACACATGCTCGGCATTTATATCAAACAACACATTTACCTTAACCTGCTCTTTTTGGCATCTGCCAACATTAAACACTGCTACGAAGCCAATCTCTTGCTGTCTTCCTAAAACCACAGTTCACACACACACTATTATCTCTGTTCCAGATCAGCTGCCATTCACTGGGTCCTGCAGAAGGCAGAGGAGTCCATGTGTGTAGGTTTAACCAGGCCGGGGAGTGTAAACCAGTAGCTAAATCTCTGTAAGCAGGCCCTGGCAGTGCTCCCCAATTGTTCGCCTGCTGTGTGAGCAGGGGCCTGGAGGGGACTAATCCCTTGGCATGTGTGTGCACATGTAGAAGACCCAAGCTGCAGGATAAATATTGAGAAAGCCCTGACCACAAATGCCACGGCGCCTTCCATACTTAGCTACGAGCCTTCATACAACGTCTTGGATGCTTCTTGGAGATGAGGAGGGTAAATTATTTTGGAGGTCTGCCTCATACTGTTCCACCAGGGACAGTCCTGATCTTACATAATCTTGGCCTGCTGGGCTTTCCAGAGTCCTCAGTTCACTTGCATGGGTGAAACACTTGCAAGGCTACCAATGATCAAGCACTAATTAGTGGTGTAGTAGAGGAAGCTAAATCCAGTTCAGCTCAGAATTTTAATCTGATTTATACATTGGTGAAACATTCATACCACATGGAAAGTGAAGTAGAACAACTGAGGTCTTTGATATTCCAGATTTTTTCTTATAAGGGCAATTATAGGCTAAGGCTTCTAACGATCTGACTGTAGGACATACTTTGGTAAATGGTAAATGGACTGTATTTTATATAGCGCTTTCTCACAGTGTGTTACACTGGCCAAAGCGCTTTACAGGAGATTATACACCATTCACCCATTCACACACACATTCACACACCGATGACGATTGATTTGTTTGTTGTTTGTTTGATTTACCCATATTTAATTTACACAGCTAACGATCTGACTGTAGGACATACTTTACCTACATTTCATTTACACAAAAGTCCCCATTACATTATTCATTTCTAGTATGTACAGATCCAACAGCTCCATTTGTGTGAAACAATTTTCTGAAATGCCTAAGCCATTATAATCTTGGCAACAGAAACCTTTAGGCTGTGAGAAACTGTTTCATGGTTGTAGGTTATCAGGGGGCGCAAGCATTGATGCCCGTGAGCTGTAAGATCTATAACCTCAATTATTCAGCATGAGACGGACAGGTGACATGTACTGTAGGGCAGTTATTAAAGGGGATGCGATCGGGATCTAGGAAGATAGTGGATTTGGTTTCATAACGCAGCAGTGGTGAGATACTGGCGTTTTATGATTAACTCGTTTGGAGTATCATGATGGGACTTGCCTCCTCGCACAAATTCAGCCTGTAGGCTACTGTGTGATCTCACATGCAACGCGCAAATAAGGTGAAAGACTGCTAGACATCGATACGCAGCTGTCCGGATGTTTCAAGGTGGACATTGGAAGGACAGAAGGAAAGCATGGTGTTCTACAGGCTGTTTGAATTTGCAGACCTTTAGGAAAGTTAAAGGAGCCCGTTCTCATTGAAGGGAATGAAGGACGCACAGTAGAAGCTGATGGTGCTCTGTAATCAGCACGACTTTATTGCACTGAGTAGGAATTCATGTGGAGGGGGAGGCGCCCGAGCGAGGCGAGCGGCGTGACTGCTGCCCAACGTAACAATTAACCTTGATAACGCAGATTGGTTTCACTTAACAGGCACAGGTGTGTGGAGTTCCAGCGGTTCCACGTTTGTGACCGGGCACTAACGCATTATTATGCCAAACGTAGAAACCAGGGAGAGTGATTTTTGCATCTGATTTTTTTTTTTCCTTCACGGGACGGGGTGCAGGATGCAACTGGAACCCGTCCGATACGCGTCTTCTTGCAGAACCCAAAATCAGGAACCTCATCGAATTAATTTGGAGCCCTTTATCGGAATTTGACCGCCCTGTCATTGCCCAGTCTACCAATCAGCTAAAGGGCATCTTCTCAGTAGCGGAGACAAGAAAGAGGAAAGACCTGTCCGCTTCACAACTCTCCATCTGCGCTCTGGGTGACTTGAAATGAAGGCCACATAGCGGTTCTGTTCCGTGTCAAGACGCAAGCGTGGTGGTTTCTTAGGTTCTCAAGGACGCTAAAAAGTGCCCTCGGCCGAGATGCGAAGCATGGAGCGGGACGACACCGTGAGCGCGTCCAAAAAGACAATAATTGCGAAAATATTTAAAGTTCGCAAAAGGAGGGAAATGCTTTTCGTTCAGGTGTGCTTTATCTGCAGTGTCCTCTTCGTGGCATGGAGCATGTCGTCGTTGTTGACCAAGACAGGTGAGTGGGGGGGGGACTGGTGAGAAGCACCGGGGCTTGGATACCCGGTCGGAGCAGAACGGCTCAGACATCTGCAG